TATATATATTACACGTATGTGTAAAGCGGTAGACATTACCCCCCTCCCCCACACACACACAAATAACATAATAATAAAAAAAGAACCCACTACTCAACGTTGTTAAAAGTGAAAGCCAACTCAATAGGTCTAGGTTGTTTCATGAAGTTGCCTTGCTATAAACCTCGCGCCAACTTCCACTGCTTTTCTTAATCTTCTGCTCCCACAGGACAAGACGTTCTTCCTGATGACCAACTTGGCATTCGCTGACTTAATCAAATGCATTGTGGTGCTTCCGATAACCCTGGCCAACTTGCTCATCCAGAATTGGCTGTTCGGGAGCTTCCTCTGTTTTTTCCTGCCCATGATGCAGTGTTTTCCAGTTCACGCCTCCATGTTGACTTTCCTGATGATTGCCAGTGACAGGTAATGAATTCAGTGATATTCGTGATTCTCTATATTATGCCTGGAAATCTTTGTTATTTTCCATTATTTCTGTTTAGGTATATTTTTCCCCTCTGAATATAAGAGTTTTCATGTTTTTTTCTGTTGACGCTAATCTTATGTTTTAAAATTACAGAACTGCTTTACAAGTTGTTTTTTTCAATCATTTTTCAAGATGGACGAGGTCCTCGACGTTATTAAGTAGATTCTAAATTTGATGAAAAAATCAGTGCGTTATCATTATGTGGTTTCGCAGGAGACTTGTAACAACTTGATGGACAGAAAAAATAAAATGAGGAAGTAAAGAAAAGAAGCTCGGCTGGGCTGCTCATTAATGAGAACAATTAGGAAGCGACAAATGCGGTTTCTAGGACACTTGACTCAACATAATGGTTTAAGGATCTTGCTCTCAGTGGAAAGATAGAAGCCTAACGACGTTAATGCAGACCCAGAGAAACTCGTTTACAAAACCTGAACAGATGAGTGACGAGGAAACAATAGAATAATGTTCGATTTTTGAGAGCATCGGAGTGGAGAAATGAATGGAGAACCATGATCGCCGTTGTCTGTTTCAAATCTGCTACTTTAGGATGATGAATTATGATGGTCGGTTTCAAGATTTGTTCTTCAACCCTCGCAACATGTCTACAATTTCTCACCGTTCTCCCGTGACATCAGTTTATGCTAAGCTCTCTTTCTTTCGACGTGGAAATAATCTTTCATTCAGTCATATCACTAGTATCCGAATAGCGTCTCATTTCAAGGCGAGAGTCAACATATTTTGTGTTACGATTAAGGCTTAGCTTTTTATTTAGGATTTCTGCTCATTTACTATATTAAATATGTATTAATGTATGTTGGTGTTCATCTCTTATGCTGTAGCTCCCCCCCTCCCAACACAAGTGTGCATCTGCACAGAGGCACACACGTATACACACACACACACACACACACACACACACACACACACACACACACACACACACACACACACCCAAATACACACACAAATACACACACTCACACACATACGCAAACATATACAAACATAGTTACACACTTTCTTTTTGCGTTTGTTACTCTCTATAATACCGTTAATCTTCAGCACTTATATGACCTGTTTGTGTTGCACGTGCCGTAAAACTCTTACTAAAACCAAACACAGTAAAACCTCTTTTTTTATCGTTTCCATCGCTTTCACCCATTCACTCTTTCTCTCTTTCTGTCAGTGTGTCTGTCTTTCTGTATGTCTGTGTGTCTGTATGTCTGTCTGCCTGTCAACCAGTCCTTCGCTCACACGCCCACATAGAAAGGCATATGCATACACACACTCACAAACACACACACGCATAAACACACACACACACACAAAGACACGAACAAACCCACATGCTGCACCAAATACACTGTAACTCTACCGTGCCTATATTTGTCCCATTAATTTCCTCCTCTACCAGAGACAGTTCTCTCCGAGCGCTCACATCCCCCTCTCATGGCCCTCCTCCTCCTCGTTCACCCTCTCCTCCAAATCCCAACCCTCTGTTATCCCCCTCTCAACCATCATTCACCCGGCCTCTCAACTCTATTAACTTGCTCCCCGTCCACAGTTTCCGTCTAGACTCCCCCTGCTCTACCCTGTGTCCAATACATTTTCCCCTCTGGAGTCCATTTACCCTTCCCCTCTCGTTATTCACCGATCATCCACTTTCTTGTCGTTTTTTCTTATTTCTGTCATTTCCCCTGCTTTTCCTCCCTCTTTTGGAATCAAGGATGTGATCCCTTCAATGAACCAGGAGTGCGTCATCTTTTGCTGTTCATGCTCCTACATTCTGCTGCCGTCACTATTAGCTTCTTAAGATTCTTCTTCTCTTTTCTTTTTAAGTGAATATTTTTGACGTAAGGCTTGCTCTTTCCCTTACTTTAAACAATTGCTATTAATAACACACCCTCTTTTACTCTCTACCAGCCCGCTGTCTTTCTGCGTCTGTCCGTCCCAACACTTTCCAACTCTCAAAGTAAAATTTAAACAAACAACAACAACAACAACAACAACAACAACAACAACAACAACAACAACAACAACAACAACAACATCAACAACAACAGCAACAAACAAACTAACAAAAACAAACAAACCACCCTCTATTCTCCATTTTTTAGTATAAATAGCTGCCTGCTCCTGTCCCCGTTTTTCTTTCTTCCATCCCCCTCCCCCCAACTCCGGCCCTGTTGGTCTTTGACTGATACGTTTTTATCAATCAATTGTTTCCTTCCTTTTCTCAATTTCAGCTCGCCTTTTAGGGTAACCTTCTTTCCTCCTTTACTTACCAATTTCCCATGAAAACAAAATGATCCCACCAAACGAACTAGAACAAAAACAAAAACGGAAAGCGGCTTCGAATGGAGACATTCTGTCTTCTCCCTAATGCTTGCCTGAAAGGATCAGATTAGTCATCTCGACTAAAATCCCCCCAAACCTTTTCTGAAAACACCCCGTAAAGGAAAGGGAGGACTCTAAAATCACTGGCTTGGTCTTTCTTTCGAAAGAGCGACAGAGCACCTATCTATCCCTTTCCTATTACACCTCTTACCCTAAAGAGCTCCAGTCTCTTGATTGCATCCGCTGGCAGCTTTAGCGTGTTTCTCCTTGTCCTATTTCTATTCTTTATTGTCCTTGTACAGATCAGAGCAATAGTATAGAATGGCCCAGCGTTTCCCTTCACAAACCGTATCCCTTTTTCTTCGGCGAAGCTAATATTTTCCCAACGGCTTTGATCGTCTTGAAAGCCTTTTCAATCAAAGTGAGCGGAAACCAGGACTCGAGTGATTACAATGTTCATCTGTCTCGTCTGCAAAACGTTGGTTTACTTCCTTTTTCTCCCGTTTTATTTTTTCTGTGACGTATTTGACCTCGTTACTTCACGACTCTCTTGATAAATAACCTATATTTCTGACTGTCTTAGACAATCTGGAAAGCACAAGGACAGAGGGTCAGAACCGATCCTCGGAGATCCCAAGTTTTATATGAACCCAGCCCTAGCCTTGAGGTCTTTCCTGCATAATTTCACACACTGAGCACGTCGTCTCCTGAGGGCCGACTCCCAAAACATCTCCTGTCACGTTAAGCTCAAGCTGTCGTCGTACATCCCCCCCCCCCCTTAGTCCTGGCTAAAGATTGCCTGTCCCCTCCTTTTATGTATTAAAAAGATGAGACGGGAGACGATACTTGGGTTTCCGAGCATGACGATACCCAACCATTCATCCTCTTATATCATTGATATATATTTCGGTGCTTGGACTCGTGGCTGAAGTCTGAGATCTATTTATTATGTGTCAATAGGAAAGGTCGACATTATCAGTAGGTTCAGATAGTTAAAAAATTGGCATCTTCTACAGCAATTATCATTAATGGCATAACCGTTTTGTTGTAACTGCTTTTCCCCACTTGGATTTTGATAACGTTCAATGTAAACACAGGTAACAGAAGAAAGAATGGAAACGGCAAACTAGATCAACATGATTCTACGACGCAACTGCGATAAAAACTGTTTGCAGAGAGGCTGAAAACTACGTTTTTTAAATATTATTTATTTTTGTGCTGAAGGTACGTCATGTGATCGGTTTCATGCTCCTTTTGACGCTGAAATGATGTTTTAAGGGTGAGACCTACGAATTGGATGATTCATCTCCCATAGGACCGATCCTTGGAGTTGAACAGTCTTGAACATTCCCCAAACAACTGTAGTTCAATAACGCCCCACTGGAAAAGCTAATCAGGGTCATCCACACTTGACTTTAAACCTATAATGATTTTTGTTTGTTGTAGATTCGTATTTACTATTTGTGCACATGCGAAGGTGGCGTCAGTTTGTATAAATTCCCCTGTCTTCACATTGTGTGGTTTATTGTGTCCTTTCTCCCTTCCTTTCGTAGCTCTGTTTCGTAAGCAGTTTTGCTGAAATCTAAGGAAAGTTTGCTTTAGATCTCTTTCTAAATTTTGGCGCTCTTGCCTTATTAGAAATGTCTGAGCGCTTGAATATGAAGGCTTTCTTTTATTATCGTTTTCTGACAAGATGAAAGAAATAATGGTGCGCCTAGTAATAAAGCAAAAGCAGCAGCAGCAGCAGCAGCAGCAGCAGCAACAACAACAACAACAACAGGAAAAGATAAAATCCCTGGATGAAAGTAGAACAAAGTACAGTCGAACCTGCCCTGACGGTCACCTCTATAAGACGGCCACTTGTACAAACGGCCACTTTCCATTTCCCCCCTTGCGTTTTTTCTATATAATTTAACTGTGTAAAACGGGCACCTGTCCAACGCGGCCGCGGCCAACTTATTTCAACACACAACCCCTATCACAATAAGCAATAACACCCGTCTAAGACGACCACCTTAGTGACTCCATTTCGTTCAGTCATAAATTGTGCTTTGGGCGTTGTGGGCAAGCCGTCATA